AGGTTGATAACAAAACGAGGGAAAACAAAAACAAATAAAAACAACAACAATCCAGTTGGATCCCACGAGTGTAGGGTCCGGGGAGGGCGTGTGTACGCAGACCTTGCCCCGACTCGAAAGTAGAGAGGCTGTTACTAAAGCTCACACTGATTTTCACATTTAGATCTTTATTTTTTTTGCAACAAATGTAAGATTCTATTTTAAAGTTAAAAGGCTAGGTTTAAGCAAACCTAGCAAATGCGCTTGCTAAGTGTCTGCACTCTGCTCTCAATGGGCACGCATTACAGTTTGGATTCTTCTTCGTACAGATAACCTGTATATAGTAGTTGACTGGCAGTGATATAAAGAAGAGCAATGAAACTAAGCAAATTTAAATTAGCCTATAAGAAGCTTTGCGTTGGACTGTGACTGACCTTTCCGAAGGTGATTAATTGGTAATGCAATACATACCTGCAAATAATATTTAAACCACTGAAAATTAAGCTTCGTTGTAGAGATGCATGTCTGTTATAAGATATTTTTATCAAGGAGGAATGATTGTTACAATATATTTTTATCCAATGAGCAAAGGCGTGGCCAAAGATACTTTTGAATGGCATCCATCTGGGGGTACCTAACAGGAGAAAACATCAGCATCTACTGGAATCATATGATAAATGATAACAGTATCTTCACCTGGGTTGATAATATGAACTTACTGTTCTAGTAAATGTATCTGAAGATCACCAGGCAGTGGTTCCAAAGGGACCCATCCAAGTCGCACTGCTATTCGAGCAATATTTGTATCGACCTTAAGACAAATAATAAGATGTATATGCTTCAAATGATGAGACCGTAAAGAACTAATCAAAGTATCAAACTAAGAAATTTGAAAGTAAAAGGTCTTAGTAAAAGGAAATACAGGAAAAGCAAGATGACCAAGCGTCAAAAGCCGCACACACTCGGTACTCTTCAAACCCACCCCTCTTATGCTCAATAAAAATTCCCTAAAAGCATGAGTGAAATTTGAGACGTTCCATGGATAAAATGGTTATGAAATTCCACTACAAAAGGTTAACAATAGCTCTCTCTATTATAAATATATTTAATATCAGTCAGCAATTAGTTAGTGACATACTTGGCTTTATCAGGAGGGATATCTTTTAGCCACTCTAGGTCAATGCTTCCATGATCATGAACCAACCGCTGGAGGAAGGCCTGGATATTTCAACCCACAAGGTGAATCATAACATAAACCTTTGAAGAGTAGATTCCACAGGGAAGGCTATTAATAATTTGCTTTCATCATTTGAGAATAGTTACCTTAATCTTTGCTGCAAGAACATTATTCATTCCTCTACTCTCGATAATTTTTGCTATTTCTTCAACAGGAGCACGTCTAACTGCATCCCAATCAACAGCATCCAAGTTTATTCCCGGAGTCCTGCTTAAATTACAATAGGTTCTTCTCAATTCCTCCCAGTCCA